TTTGTGACACCAGGGGGCGGGGGGGAATGCATCACGTCTCCCGGGATGTCTACCGGGGGGGGTGCTCCACATCCCGTGTTTCGTTTGAGACACCAGTGCCGAGGGGGGTGGAGGGGGGGGTGCACCGCGTTCCCTGGGGCGTCGATGGCGCAGGGAGGGAAAGGACGTGCCGCGTTTGGAGAGGCCTATCAATGCCGTTGGCTTTAGCAATCCCGTTCAGTTGCGCCTCCTGGCTTTTTGGCGGACTCCCGCTGTGTTCTTTTTAGCGCCCTTGCGCGTTTTTTTTGTTTTTGGTAGTCACTTGCCGCACGGGTGCATGCTGTAGCGGCTTCCTCTGTCTTCGTGACTTCCCGCGACGCTGCCAAGCTCGCTCAGTGTCCCGCCAACGCTGCACCCCCTCCTTCAAAGCAAAACGTCTCACATTTTTCCCGCGGTTGTGTTCGCACGCATCCGAACAGATGTCCGTTGAGGGGCAAGAGGCCATGCAACAGGTGGTCCAGGACGCGATGGCCGGGATGTCTACCTCGGGGCAAGGGGCCCCGCAGGATGATGCGTACTCGACGGACCGCGACGGGGAGGGCGTTGTTGGGGAGGGGGGCGGGAGCGATGGGGGAGGGGGCGGGGGGCGGGAAGGAGAGGAGGCCTTGGTGGACGAGAGCATGTCGAGGGACCACAGGGAAGAGGAGTGGGCGCTGAGAATGTCGGAGACGGAAGATGCGATGGTGCGCGCGGTAGCAGCATGCAGGCGTTGTTGTTGTTGTTGGTTCAAAAAATCTGCTGTCTGTCTGCGGTTCAATGTCATTGGTGCGCGCGGTATAATGTAGACGTTGTTTGTGATTTCGTGGTTATCGGTTGGCTATATGTATTTACATTAAAGAAGTACACGCTGTCTTGTTTCCACTGCTGTAAGTACCTACGCTTGCAGTGAGTTTCCGTCCCTTCCTGGAAGGGTGTGTTGCCTTACTCTAACTGCTTACGAATTATTTGGCAGATGCATGTTCGCTCTCTCTTCAACTTGATCTGAATGCTGGATCCGTTGGTTAGCACCAACAAGCTCTGCATTGTCTAGTATGCGCCACGACAGCAGTTTCGAAAGTGCCTGCCCTAACACTCACACACACACACTCCTGCGCGCCTTGACGGCAGTAAAACCCTTGGAATAGAAAGCTTGTTCGCGTCTTTTTTCCCGCTTCAAGGCAGACGTATTTTCATTGGTCAGCCGGTTAACGCCGTCGATGCTATTTCAAATACACGCACACAGGCACACACACACGATTGGCCACGGTGACACGCCCGCATTGGTATTCCCAGGACCGCTTTCGCGAGGATTATATATGTTTATCTGTGAAATCGAGAGGGAAGATTCGGATCCCTAACTCTCACCCCCGAACCCCCAACTCCGGTACCCCTACTAACGTATACGACACAAGATAACACACCCCCTGGACCCATTTTCAAAGCTCGAGCACTCCACGACCAAGAGGATGCATAAACGAAACGACACGTTTTCGGAGAGATCTCGACCAGACGGCTTCAACGCCGCCCTTTTCGGCACCCCCCACCCTTTCTGCTGTTGATAAATCGAGCTGTAAACAGTCGGTCCAGGGTGTGTGTTATTTTGCGTCGTATACGGTAAAGCCGAGCTTAATACCCTCGCGAAGGCCACTATATTCCTATATCGATAGCCTCCCTCCTTGGGTGCAATTGGCCTCATCGCCTCACGTGGCATCCAACTGTTGCCTGTACGCCGGTTGTCGTCAATAATAGCTGGAGTTGAGGCGAGAACGGGAGCGCGAGTCGGCCTTGAGGACCGAGGCGGAGAAGGAGGTGGCAGCGCTCAAGGAGAGGACCGTTGAGCTGGAGGCCCACGCCAAGGCTAGGTGGGTGTGGTTAGATTGTGTTGTGTTGAGATGGATAGGGTCAAGGTGGATTGGGTGCGGTTAGATCGAATTAAGTCCGCATGGAATGGAATGGTAGGTGGGTGTGGTTAGATTGGGTTGGAGATCGATTGTTGTTGGTCCTTTCGGGCTGTGTAAGGAGATGACCGTATTTGGTGCTTGTTTGCTTGCCATATCTTGTGGATTGGGTTGGGGTTGAGATTAGTTAAGTTGGGTCCTATTGGCGCTGAACCACGTGTTGTGTTTTTTCGTGCGGTACAGTATCTTGAGGATGTGGGCCGAGATGCAATGGGTCCTTTGGGGCTGTATCAGGTGACATTTATCTTTTTGTTTTGCCTGCGATATCTGGACTATCGATTGGGTTGGGTGGAGTTGGTGGTGAGACTCGGCCCGTCAATTGGCTGTTTTGGTGGGTTAACGTGCGGGTGGGTATGCGTCGGGACACGTGAGGTGGGATGGCAATGGGTGGAAAGAACGCCTTTTATTTTCTCTCTGCCTGTGGGTTTTGTGTGTGTTTCATGTGTGTCCAGATGCTGATTTTTTTTTCTGTGATTTTTTGTTGCCACAACGAAAGGTAGGAATGCTCACACGCTTGCCTGTGAATGCGTCACGAAATCGCTTTGTTTTTTTCAGGAGTGCGCGCGACGAGGAAACGTCTAGCATGTCGGCCTCTCTGCAGCGGACGATGAGCAGCCTGGAGGACAAGGAGGCGGGGTTGCAGCAGGCGCTGCAGGACACGAGGGTGGCGGAATCAAAGCTTGCTCAGGTTTGTGGGGTGTTGCGGTAGCCACCTACAGAACGCCACCGCTTCAGGACTTAGCGGTTAAGAAACTTGAGCCTGAACCTGTTCCAAAATATACGTAGGAACTTGTCCATCGGAGCATGTGCTCAGTAAGGAAACCTACTTGCTCACTAAAACCTATATTGTCGCCGTAGGGGTAGTCTACTTTAACCCCAAGCAGGTTGCAATATGCGAAACGAGCCTCGGGCAAAGTGAGAGGTTCTCAAGTGGTGCCGCGTTCTGTATTGGTTGGTCGCATGCCCCTGCTGTGTCTTTGTCGAAGGGCGCCCGGCAGGTTGTCGTCGGTAGAGAGGGGTCTTAACGACGTTGGCACCCCAAACGTACTGACTCAAGTGTAGTGCTTGAAGTATAATAGGACTTTTTGGTCGTTTTTCGGGGCTACTGTTGGTAAGGTTAGACGTGGTCCGAGAGGTCTGCTTCTGATTGGCGAAGCGTTGTGATCTACTCGTTGGCTTTTGGGCTTGGGGTTGTCGCTGGTGTGGTTATTGTGCTGGTGTAGACCGGCGGTGTGCTGGGACGCTGCCGTGCCTTGCTTGCTGGGAGGCTTTAGCTTCTGTCTGCTGAGGGAAGCACGCAGACAGTTGTTCAGTTTTTGCGGTCACGCTAGTGCCTCGCATCCGTTGTGCGGCTGTCTGCTGTTTGGTGGGGTCTGTCTCTGTTGTTTCGTGTTTTTCTCATTACCGGTGTCACCGTTCGGTGATTGTACCTCTGGTGAATGTTTGTGTTGCCGGCCTCCCGCGGACAAGCAGTGCTGTTGGCGGTGGACCGCTGTTTCTCTCCCTCTCGCTTGACACTGCTCTCGACGGTGGTCTTCGTTTGTCTTGAGCAAGATAAAACTTTTCTGGTCAACGCCCTTGTTTTTTTTTTTTCCGACATTTTCTGGTCGCTGGTTCTTGTGATACGTTGAGTAAACACTTTTCCCATCGCTGCCTGTTTTTTGTCGTGAAGAAACTACTGTGTCTGTTCGCTGCTGCCTGTTGTTTTATCTCGAGTCATCAATTTCTGCTCGTTGTCTGTCGCTAGACACGAGTTGTCCCCCTCGCTGCTGCTGCTGCCTCAGGCACGTCCAACACATGCCCCGTTCTTGTAAGGATTGTCTCGAACGGCTTCGTATTCTTGTTGTTATAGAAGTACGTTTTTTTGTATGTAGTTGGTGTCCGTTTTACCACATGGTCAAAATTGTGCCCTTGTTCCGCAGGAGAGCAAGGCGAGGGCGGAGAAGGAGTTCGAGCTTCGTCAGATGGAGGACGAGCTCGACATTGCCAAGGCCAAGGCCTCCCAGCTCACAAAGGTAGATTTCGTCTGCTTTGTCTCAGTGACAGTGGTGTGTGGGGTTTGTCGGATGATGTGGGTCCGGACCCGATGGAGAGACTTGTGTTGGGGATGTCATTCGTTGCGATTGGTTCGTACTGGTGTGCGGGCCTCTCCCTCTCCCTCTCGATGCCACGTACAGGCAGTACATCAGAAAATGTTTAGTTGTTTCGCTTGGCGCTATTGTATTTTAGTAACTTGCCTTTGACCAAGGAAACTTTCAACACCGTTTATGTTTTGTTTTTGGGTGTGTGGATATTGTGGTGATGCACTGGGTATATTGGTCATGGCGTGTTTTTGGGCGAAGCCAACACGACAGCAACAATACCTCTCGCTGCCCAGCAACCCCCATCCACACGTGCTTCCTCCCTCGTTGCCCCCTTCCCCTCCTCCGCCCCCCCCACGGGCTTGATCTGAAAGATGGAAGCTACGGTTGAGAAGTACAAGCGGCGATTGGAGGACATGGCGGAGCTGCGCCAGCAGGTGAAGGAGCTGGACGACCTCAACTCCAAGTACCTCGACCAGATGCTCAAGCTCGAGAGCACGGCGAAGACGATCCCCACGCTGACGATGAAGATCGAGCAGTACAAGGACCAGGTGTGGAAAACCCTCCACCCAAGCGTCAACCAAGAACAAAAGAGTGGGACGTTGATCTTGACGCATGCCACGTTCTGTGTGCGCGTGGTTCAGATGCTTTGTGCGTGTGTTTCTTCGATTGGGTAGCATCGACCGCCTTAACCCGCTGACCGTTGAAAACTCGTCAGCGTTAACGGAGTATTGTGTGTTTGTCTTGGCATCGACCGCGCTTAGCCGGCTCGCCAATGAAAATTTCGCCAGCCCCAAACGTGCATGGGTCTTCCATGTGAATTAACATCGACCTCTCTACACCGTCTGAACAATGGCAATACGCCATTCTCATATACAGCGGTGGCTCCGAAGTAGTAAGAGGGTGACGTGAGAAAGGCCCTCGACTCTCTTGTATAGGACCCCTTTCTACCGGAATAAGAGGGTACTCAACTATAGAGGATCGAGTACGTGGCAACCGATTTCGACCCGCTTATGTCGGAGCAACGACTGCTGTAGCGGGATAAAAAAAAACGCATTCACGCTTTCTACTGAAAGGGCTCCTGTGTGCGGACTTAAAACCTGTGTGGAGCAGGCGGTAGGGCTGGAGCGGCAGAACTTCGAGGCTTCCTCGGCGGTGGTGGTGAAAGAGACAGAGGTGCAGAGGTTGAGAGAAGAGCTGGAGGCGGCGTTGCAGGCGAAGATGTTCTTCGAGGACGAGCTGATCGCCCTCCGAGACCAGAACAAGGCACACGCCGATGCCGCGGAGGAGGACCCCTCGAAGGGCAACCAGAGAGATCTATTCGAAGGTAGGTGCACACGTGTTGGTTGTTTCCTTTGTGTTTTGCGGGGTTTATTTGTCGGCAGTGACGGCGCTAACCGGTTGACCAAATGAAAATGTTACCTCTCTAAGGGCAACCATAGAGATGTATTCGAGTGTGTTATGTTGTTTTCGCGTGCTTCGGTGAGTGGCATCGGCCGCGGTATCCGACTGGCCAATGAAGAGAGGAAGGGCAACCATAAATATATTTTCGAAGGTGTGTGTGTTGCTTGTGTTTCTGTCGGCATAGATGTGGGTGTGGGTAAGCGTTTCTTTAACGTCCTCAGTCTTGTTTCGCGAGACGACGCGAGCACGACTTCTACGTCGGTCGTCAGTATGGAAGAATCCCGATGAATTATCGGAACAGAACAACCAAATTACAGAACCCGGTTGCCGCAGGTGGCATGTTGTGGAACCAACGGTATACTCTATGATCGGTTCTCGATTTTCGTTTTGCGATTTTGGAGTGGTTTTTCCAGCGGCAAGACTCGCACTAAGCCGCTGCTACCCTCTCTCCCCTCACCCCCCCCATCTCTCGCTGTCCCTTGCTTCCCTAATCTCTCGTGCGATTTTTTTGGCATATACACCAGGGGCAGCTAACCGCGCAGAGCTACGGGAGCAAGTGGCACGAAAGGATCGAGAGATCGCCCTGCTAAAGGCGCAGGTGGCGGAGGGTGGCGGCCAAGACGGAGAGGGGGGTTCAAGGCTGGAAGTGCTCGAGGTAAGATGTATGTCGCCGCATGCTGAAACGGGACCCAGCGTTACTACGCACGTTCGGAGAGAGGGTTTTCGATGCTTTTATATGTGTCGTGTCAAAGGTTTGCGTCGCCCCGGAAACCCGCCAATAGTGCTGCTGCATGCCGGAATACGGTACGCAATACGGTACGGAATACGGTACGGAACACGGTACGGGTCAACAAACACCTCGCCCCGCAAGCGAAGAGGAAGGTCGGCAGCAGTACGTGCAAATGCACATCTCTAACCTGCCGTCTTTATGGGCGCGCGCGTATGTCTGCTGCGCCCCTTGCCGTTGTTGCCCCGTCGCATTATTTGTTTTTGTTCTTGGTGGGTAACGTGACGTGACAGTCGCAACTGGAGGACGCCCTCCGCGTTAAGGACGAGCGATCAGCGGAGGCGTTGGCGGCGAAGAGGAACGCCGCGGATCTCGAGCAAAAGGTGTGTTGTGCGGCCATAAGATATGAGGCATGTGGCATCGACCGAGCTGTCCGGCTGACCAGATCTCGAGCAATAGTTTGTGTGTGGGCGTAAGATGTGGGCTACTGGCATGTGGCGTCGACCGCGCTATCAGGATGGCCAGAACTCAAGCACAAGTTGTGTGCTGGCGTAAGATACGACTCTTCTGTGAGCTGCGTGGCATCGACCGCTCTGCTCGGCTGGCCAACCAAGGGACGACATTCGTCTCGACGGGCGCCATCAACCGTGCTGGTGCTGTGTCCTGTGTGGCTGTCATCCCCCTTTTCGTCGGGTTATGTGTGCCTGTAGTCGTGTTGTCGGGCGCACAAGTCGGGGGTCACACGAGAGAACGACCACACCGGAGTGTGTCTTGTCCGGTTTTTCTCCATGGTCGTTCTGCGGTGCATGCCTTTTTGTGTTTTGCTATGTAGAAGGATCAAGCGGTTTCTTTCCCTTGTGGGCCTTGAGTTCGAAGCGTGCGCCTGCACGAATTTTAGCGGAAGCTGTCCGCTTTTGTTTTGGACACCGGCGTGGGAAAATATTCCCGCCTGGTGTGATCTGCTTGCAGCGAAAGAGATTTGAGTAGCCGCAGTCGTTCCCAGCGGGGGGGGCAGCCGTGTGACACCGAGGTACGTACACCACCCCGACAGCGCTGTCATTGTCCGCGTATCCCCCATCTCTGTCCGTCTCCGCAGAACAACAAGCTGGAGCAGTTGGTGTCGGAAATGAAGGGGGCGCCGCAGAGCGCAGCACAGGTGGGTTTTGTGGGTGTGGAGGTTGCGTAGGAGGAGAGTGGAACCTCCGATGAGCCGCCGCTTTCGTTTTGGTCGTGTATGCGGCGTGGCGTTCATATCATTATGACGTTACCGACCGCGCTTGCGGTTGATTTCACAAGTCCCGCTTCGGTTTTGCGTTTGATTTGTTGTTGGTGGTGGTGGTGGTAGCGTTGTGGTCGTGTTAGTTGTCCGTGAACTGGTGGGGGGTTCTTGCACGCTGTCGGCCGTTGCCGTCGTTGCCGGTTGCCCCTGAACCCTGCGTTTGCACGCTCTCTTGCCTCTTCTCAGTTGTCCGAAAAGTCTTCCGCCAAGACACAATTCTTCCCGGTACTGCTGTGTCCTGCATTTACATCCACGCGTTTGTCACATCTGGGTAGAGCAAGAAGTCTTCCGCCAAGAATATTACCACCAGCAATCAACGAAACACCAACAGCATACATTTTTCCCCGATACTACTGCTCCCTGCGTTTTGCCACGTCTCGGTACATAGGCCGAGAAGTCTTCGGCGAAGATCCAGAGCATGAAGGAGGAGATGGACAGGCTGAGGGTCCTGGCGGACGATCGCGAGCGGCTGAGTATGACCGCACAGAGCATGGAGGACCGTCTCAAGGAGCGGGAGACGCAGGTACGATATTGTCAACTACCAATTGTATCAAGCCCTCTATATGTAGCGATGAAGTTTTCGCTTTCATACCTAACCAGTAGATGCTCGTCTTCCTGCTTCCTGGTTTCTTAGATCAGGTACGCTGGTTGGTTTGTTCCGCGTTTATGCCAAGAATGAGTGGAAGGAAATCCAGCTACAATGAAACCAGTGCCCTTCTGAACAATATGCCAGATGGACCAATTTTCTCATGGCGCCAGGCTTCATTATACTCAACAATATGCCCAGTACCAACCGGTTTTTCTCCCACTCACTATATAGACTTCAGCACATCCCCTTAGACTTCTGTGGTGTTATCTCGAACGGCTAGCCTTTCGGTGATGTTGTATGCATTTGTCCTAAGAACACGACCGAAGAAACGCGAGACTCAAATGCAAAAGACTTTCAACACATCCCCTTCGACTGTCAGATCGTCATCTCGAACGGCTAGCCTTTCACAGTGATTTTGTATGAATTTGTTGAAAAATTACGGCCGAAGAAACACGAGGCTCACTGCAAAGGCTTTCAACACACCCCCTTCCACTTCTGTGGAGTTACCTCGAAGCTGGTTGTCTCTCTGTGTACGCTACCCAAAACCAAAAAGACATAAAAGAACAAATGACACACCCCGTCCTCACTTTTTATGGTCGATTTTGGTTGATTTTCTTGCACGGGGCGAAACGCCACTCCAACGCACAACAACTCCCCCAGGTGAACAACCTCCAGACGGACAAGGAGAAGCTGGAGTCGTACACGAAGAAGACGCTGCACAAGTTCCAGGACAAGTACATGGTGGCCATCTCGCACTGCAAGGCGCAGATCGCCGAGAAGAACGAGAAGATAGACTACCTCGAGGTGCGGTTCGCACGTCCGCAAGTGCAGTCGTATTGAGTGCAACTTTTTTTGTCAGGGGCATGGGGCCCCGCAGAATAGTGACGCAATACTTATAGCGGGGTATGATTTCGAGGGCATGTTTTGCAGAGGCATGGCGCCCCGCAATGATAACGCAATGATGAAAAGGGGGTACATTTTTCAGTTTGAGAGTGTCATGGTGCCCCGCAGAATGACAAGACAAAAACAAAGGGGGCAACAACAAAGAAGGTTTTTGTTCGGGCGCTTTTCGTGGAAGAAACCCCCTGAGCGTCCTTGGAGCAGGGGTGGCTCTACGGGATGTCCGTTGCAGTTTGTGGTGCCGGTATGTTATGTTTTGATGACACGTCAACGAGGCCTGCCCGATGTCTTTGGCGGCTTCTGTTCTGAGGACCTCTCCGTCATGTTGGCGTTAATTTTGCGGCTGGTTTCTATCTGTGGCGTGCAGAGCAAGATATCGCAGGACAAGGCGGCCTCTAAGCGGGAGGAGAGGCTGCTCATGTCCTCCGTCTACGAGCTGGGTATGGACATCATCGAGAGACAGCTCAAGTCATCGGTGAGGGTCACGAGTTTTTGCGCCAGATGGAACAACGAGTGTTGTGTCAAGGAGTCGCCATGGTCGTCGTCCTCGTCCCCCCTTGCTTGCGGTAATTGCCCGTCGAGACCGTATTTTTGAGCTCGGCGGTTTGAGTTGTTTTTGCCTTCCCTAGCGATTCAGTTGCTTCTCGAGACCCTTATCGTAAGCTCGGCAGTTGCTTTTGTCCTTGCTTTCCCCTTGAGCAAGCGTAGCGACGTGCCGTGTCTTTCCGTAAGGGCAGCTAGCTCTGCTTGTGTGTGGATGTGTGCCGACACACTCGACTGATGGACCGCGCGTGCGTCTCTGCTTCCCCAGGTTTCGGACCAGATCCGCGGGGCAGACTCGGCGCCAGGCTCGTCTTGGATGCAGAGGAAGCGGGCAGAGGTCAAGAAGGCGAACCCTGTGGCGCTCTGACTCTGACTTGCCGAGAAAAATCTCAATTCCAACACGAGCAGGAAGACCTAACACGTAACACGTAAGACAAGATCCGATCCAAGAAGAGGAAGGTAGCTCAGGCTCACTCTCCGGATACGCGGAAGGTTATGAGAAACCTATTTGCTGCCTGTGCGCCACAAGGCATACGGTATCGGCTGGCGGCCCTTGCAAGCGGGGCCGAGAAGCGGGGGGCACCGCATGAGTGCTGCTATGTAGGGGGGTGTGCCAGTGTATGCATCGCCCAGATTTTTTTTTCTTTTTTTTTTGTAGCGCGGCCAAGGTTGTGATTGTATGCTCACTGGCCGAGATCGTGAGACTGGCGCGGCCCCCGCCGCAGGCGTGGGTCTGGAGTCCGCGGCGCTGGCGTTGGCCAACCCCCCTCCCCGCGTGTCTGCCTGGCGGGAGCTACTTATTCAACACGCGTGACATGTTGCGGGTATTTCCTGAAGAGTTGTCTGCCTAGCAGGAGCTGGTACAGGGAGGGTTGAAACGCGTCAGGTGTTTTCCGAAGAGTTGTCTGCCTATGTAGGTAGGAGCTATTCGGGAGGCGCGAAACGTTTATACAGACTGTTCACCGAACGGTTGGTCTGTTTCGTGGAAGCGATTGGAGAGGGCGTGAAACGTGCGAGTTTTCCTCCTGCCCTGTTGGGCAGGTCGGACCAAAGTTTGCTCCCGCAATCAGCAACATGTCTTCGACATGGCGTCTACGTCGGCCTGTGTACGATGACTCGCCTCTCCAACGACCGGGGCGGGGGGGGTAGCAATTGGCGGGCGGCGGGCGTGGTGGACGTATCTCGGAGTCGTACGCGTGTTCGTTCCCAACGTGCAAGTCGCAAGACAGGGAGTATAGTAGTAGTCAGGTGTTTTTGCCACGCTGTTGCCGGGGTGGGACGATTGGACGTGTACAGAATGGCCGAATGCGCGAGCAATACCGGTGGAGTTTGATGCACCGCGAGAAGTAGCGTAGGGTGCTGTTTCCTAGATCTTACTATCTTGCGCAGCCATTCGACCACGTCGATGATTGGTCGAAGGGTCTCATTATCAACCGTTGTATGGGCTGGACGTTGCTGTGCGGGGTGTGCGGTCTTGCCCGCACCCCGCCGGGGGTCTAGCTATGATTTCCTTGTATTTCATGAACTATTGGGGGTAGACGTTCGAAAGTTTTTCCATGTGGCAGCTACATGGGCGATGACCTTTACATTCGCCCGTAAGTAGCACTTGTGAACAAGTGCAGCGTTCTTGTTTTCCACTGCTGGGGCAGCTGAGTATGGATATCCCACCGAATCTCTCGTCAGAGTCGTTGAGTGAAGAATGTCCGAGCGGCCGATGCATGAAATAGACCAGACCAGGCCAACGAGAGCACCACCTTTGCATACGTCTTGGATAGATTTTCTCCCCTTTCCCGTCTTGCGTGTCTTGTATGAACAAATCATTGTGAGGAAGAACAGAGGAGATGCCTGGATAGTGCGCGAGTGGGCGCGGCAATGGGGGGTGATCTACGGCGGAATTTCCCATGAACCTGCTGCTTGAAAACGACAGGAGGGTATATCTCTAGAAATGGCAGCGCCAGAGGATGATCCCGTCCCCTAGATTCGTCGTAAGAGAGGGGGCTGTGATGCGGGGGATACGTGTCGCTTGGCTTGATTGGCTGCCCCCATGGTATGCTCAACTGAGCAAGGTGAGGTGGTGTTCGCTTTTGGTGTTATACTTAAGCGGTGGTGATTCCGTGTTGCGGCATCACCACGTTCGGGTTTTATCGTGTTGGAAGTGCGCGACTGGCCGGTTCGGTTTGTTGTTTCTTGTTTTTTCCTCCCTCTTCGCCGGGTTGTTCCCGCATTTTTTATGTGTAAGGTAAACATCTGCGGGCCTTCGCAATTCGTAGGCTACCCTGGCCTCCGTTCTCATTATTTATTTGTGGTTTCATTGTTTCCTAAAGAGCCTTAAATAGCTGCTTTCTCTTGTTTTTTTGGGTGTCGATTCGGTTTTTTTTTTTCATGCTTGCCCTTGAAAATAGCGCCAAAGAAAGGGCCGAGCGCGGCATTGTTTTGAATCCCAGGTATAATTACTGGACTGCCATTGCTTCTTTCTTCGCTTGGCGGAGGATGTCTCGTGACAACGTGTTACGCTGGCACCCTTGATTGCTCAGGGAACCTTGTATTTGAGAACGCCCTACGTACTCTTCGGCACGTGGAGGCACCGTAATAATGGTTCGGTTGTACCGATGGTGACAAGAAGACCCTTTACCTACGTGCCCGAAAGCTACATCTACAGTAGCAGTCCAAATACCAGAAATAACTGCTGACAGGAGGGAGCCGCCCATCACCATGACAACAGAACGAATGGAGCCGAACAGTTATTTAGTTTCTCCGCCCACTACTGTAGTCTAGGTAGACTATTGTTTTTCATCCAACGACGGATCCCACCAGTCAGTCAGCTTGAACCATACTGGTTGTGCTGGGTCGGCAGCGATTCCGATCTGAGGCAGTCTCCAGCTGCTAACGGCGTTGTGTGGCACCAGCAACACAAGCGCCCCGAGTGGACCGTAGACTTCAAGGTACATTGGGGTGTCTAATTTTTCGAGGGGCTTGCACTCTTGCAAAGAGAAGCCTGGACACACTCCTGTCTCTAGTTACCCATGGCACTTATCGAGACCCTATTTCACACACTCCGCTGTCAGCCTTTGTAGGATATCAGCGAATAATCCATGCGTATAAACAAGAAAACAATGTGGTGGTAGGTTTCAAAATGCGGCGAAGTTTGGACCTAAAACCAAGCAATATTGCCAGGGCGAGGTTCGTCGTGTCCCCGCCCTTATGGGTGGAGTGAATATATCATTGGCAGCATTAGGGAGCTATTGATTTACAACATGTGTGTATGGAACCGAAAATGAAGTATGTGTGCATAGAGGGGATTTGGTTTTCGAGCTCGACGCCTGGTGGAACACATCTATCTATCTGCACAAGAAAAAAGTGCGAAGAAAGGAAAGTGGTTTCGAAAAATTCATGAGTGAATTATGAATGATCTACAGTAGACGGATTGGGACCCTGAGAACCGAGAAATGATTCATTCTCTTTGTGCGATATGAAAAATAGGTGAAATCCTTCCACAATTTTTAGACGTCTACAAAACAAACGTACTTTGCATTATTGTTTACTACCTATGTACAGGTTTGCGTGTCAATGGAGAAGGTGCCATAGATGTAGCCACAAATTCGAAAACTGATTCTCAATGCATGGCGATATTTTTCAATGAATTGGCGTGGAGGGGATCCAGAGGAGGAGTGGAGTGAACTCATAGAAGATGTGGAAATGACCAGGAAGTGACCAGACAGACTTGTCTGTTTAGCTCTCCGTCCCCTCCTCCGACATGACCAAGAATGAAAGGTGGCTAGTGTTGTGAACGCTTCAAACCGAAAGAGGGACGGGTATGTTCGCAGGGAATGTGACAGACGGCACGTTTCATTGGAGGTAGGAACGAGCGTGACTGGCCGCCATATATATATGCAGTAACCCCAGGTAACCCCATCCCACAGAGAAGCGGATGACACCTGGCGGTCCAGCTGAATTTTCCTCTCGAAACGCGCATACTTATCCCAGCACCCTTGAAGTCCTTCTCATATAGTTAATTACAACCCAATCCGAGCAACAACATCGAACACGACATCGAAAACGGGTCACCACGTGTACAGCGTTCATACAGTCGAAATGTAACCAATCTACGGAGGAAAGACAGCAGATGCTATTCCTCCATCATAAAATTTCGCCAGCAAGGTATCCTTTCTGCAATCTTGACACGTTCATTCACAGTGAAGTGCCCTGGGTGCTGGGCAAAGCACGTCTCCTCCCGGTCGGTGGGATCCGTAGGCTTGTGAGTGAAGCGTCACCCGTTCCCCGAAGAAATGTGTATTTGATCATAGTAGTAGCCGGTCAATGAAGTGAGTGCTCCACCCAAACGTCCGCCTTGTGACCGATGTCGGCCCCTCCCTGCTGATCTACGTTTCATCCCCCACTAAACAAAGCGCATGACGTTACGAAAAACACCTACTTCCATAGCGCCTAGCCAGAGAAAAGTCTCTATGGCCCCCCGTTCAGGGGTCCAGCCTGTGCCACTGCCGACGTAGCCGGTGCGATCGCCACCAGTCGAACCGAGCTGAGCCAAAGATGGCACCGAAAGCATTGAAGTGAAATTGGTGCCAGTGCCATTGTAAATCTGGTGGAAGGAAGACACCCCTTTCCACGGACGATGTGGGTTTGCCTACAGTGCAGGCCGGATTTTGTTTTACGGCTGGTTTCGGCTCCTCCGCCGTCGGCGCTGGAGGTTTCATTGCCCACCACCCGAATCCGTTTCTGGCCGGCACCGGTGAGATCCTCAACGACCATCTTTTCGTCCACTATCATCGCCGGAACCCTTGGCATGGTCATCCTAGACACTCTTCTAATACCACGGGCGTGAGTCTTGGAAGCTCTGGTAGTGTTGGGAACCATGTTCATCGCCATCGCTTGTCGCGTGGCCAGCACGACCAACCAGCCCCGACGACGCCAAGTGCGATCCTTCCTCGCTTTCGACAGAGCCAGGCGGATGCGGGTCGCCAACGCTTCGTTCTTTAGCCGGCCGGTTTCATTCACAGCTCCAGGGAGAATGGGCGGGCTCTGACGTCCCGTATGGCGGGGAGGGTCGCCAAGGCCAGTCACGGAGCCAGCGTCCGCGCCCTGGTTATCCAAATAGTCGGGGTCGGCTCCCGCTAACAGCAAGCACTCGACGATGTCAGCGGTATTGAGCCGGCAAGCCCAGTACAGGGGGGTCGAGCCCGCGGAGGACCTAGAGTTAACGTCGGCTCCCGCGTTTAGCAAGACGCGTAGCATGGGAGTGAGGGAGAGCTTGGACGCCCATGCAAGCGGCGTGATGTCAAGGTATAATTCGCGAGCTTTGAGAGAGGACCCCGCAGCGTCTAGTAGCAACCTTGTGACACTAATCCTGTTGTAGACGACCGCCAGATGTAGCGGCGTATAACTGTCATTCGTGCGTGCGTGCGTATCGGCTCTGGCACAGAGCAGTCGGCAGCCTCAGCCTCGCATCCCTTGACGGCAACCATATGCATCGGGGTAACGGCGTAACGGCAAGGTTGTCGGCGACGTTTGGGTTGGCGCCAGTAGTGAGTAGGATCTGAAGAATCTGGGAATGCCCGAAGTTCACCGCCCGGTGCAACGGAGAGCGTCTCCTGTGGCTGTCCTGCCAATCCAGGAACGCCCCGCCTTTGACCAGACCGTACACGGTAGCCACGTTCTGGCTGACCATGTTGACGTAATCGTAGACCAGCTTGCCTCCTCTGTCACCGCCTAGGAGCCGACGGGTAGCTTCCCGTGAGGACTCGTGCCCCACTCTGGCGGATATCTCGGCTGCGGTTACACCGGTCTCGTCATGCTGACCCTTGCAGAAGCCAGCGCTCAGCAGGGCTGTGATGACTCCAACGTGACCAGGCACAGTGAAGGGCGGTACTCCTCAACTCAGCGTGGCAACGCCCTTCGCAGTTGTAACGGTTGGGCGCACCAGCCCCGGCATACAGCAGACAGCGAACGACGCGCTCGTGCCCCCCCAAGGCCGCGAGCATGAGTGGCGCGGCCTTGAAGTGGTCGCGAGAGTCGACCAAGGCTCCGGCATCCATGAGCACTAAGACAATGTCGACGTGTCCTTGCGGCAGCCCAGTGAAGAGGAGCTTTGCCGAAGCGACCTTCCGCGTTACAGGCGATACGCCCTTCCGCAAGCAAAGCTTGGGCGGCGAACGTGAGGCCCTGGGAGCGCTTCGGAGTGAAATATCTCGCCAGCTTCTCCGATTGGAGTGCTGTTCATCGACTTATCCGTCACGGTAGAGTAACCCTCAATCTCTGATCTTGGGAATATCTGCGCAACTAGCCGCTGATGGCGAATTACCAATTGGCGCCGATCATAAGTGTCGAAGCCAGGAGGAGTTACTTCTGATGTTCTCGCCATGCTCGTGTCTTGCTGATGGTGCGGAAATGTTGCGGAGATGAGGATCTCGCAGGAAGCACGGAGTGAGGCCCTGCGCGAAGGAGGCAGACGAAAGAGCAAAATCATACCAATGGGCGGCCGCGGGAAGGTTAGGGTTTATGAAGATCAGGGGTGGGTGCAATCAGCATGGCACGATGATCCTTACACCTCTACCGCACTACCCGACCGGTACAACCGGGAGCTCTTCCATTGTTTCAGCCAATTCTTTACGTGTAGACTGACTGTTTTGTCTGTACAAACAGCATATCTTCACCGGGTGCTTCATTCGCTCGCCTATCTACTACAAGAAGGCAAAACAGAAACCCGGCGGAGGAGACAACAGCGGGAACATGAAAACTTTTGCAATCCTTCTCCTTGAACGCTTCAGTAAGGGGTGTGGTCGACAACAACACCGCACGATTAGCATCAGCATTTGTATCTCCATCCAACGAGATTGTCGTCGTCAACAAAAATCACCCCGGCGGGATTGAACGAGCTCCCAATAAACATTGCCGCTTACGCCACCTGATCTCCTACAGCAACATCGTGGGGACCACCCACTTTCTGTCCTTTGGCGATCGCGCGATCCTCTCCACAACGTCTCTGACTTGCCTCCTCCAATGGTTTGTGCGGTGAGACGCGTAGACGTTCCGTTATCGGGAGGTGGGAACGAATATCGCAGCCGGATATGTGGAGGTCGCTCAGTCCCTTGCTTTGAGATCAATGAGATTGGCCTGGTTCGTAGAAGGCGATCCAGTATTGTACCTTCTATTTGTTCCCCTGCCAGCGAACCAGCAGCGGGGTAGTTGGTGGTGTAGTATATCCGCCAACACAAGGAGGTAGGGGATGTGTGAAGGATAATCACCCTTGTTTTGTCCCTCTCCACAAAATACATTTACCGGCTCTCTTTGGTTCAGACTCTTGCCACCCCGGCATTGGTTGGCGACCATCACGGTCACGGCACGTCTCCTGGCACTGTCGAAACGCATCCACCTAGCCCTTTCCTAGAGTTTTCGGTCAATCGTTCACTGTAGGTGGTGATTGATCCCCCTGTGAAGTTGTAGGTTTTTGTGCATCTGCTTGGGGCCGCGACCTCCGGGGTCAAACCCACGGAAGTGCCCGAGTGTTGGATGCGGAGGAATTATCAAAACACCCGGTAAATATGGTGCGTTGAATTTTATGTAACAGGTGGCGACCACATTGTGACGGCATCCTTGCGAACCATGTGCTTCCCCTCCGCCTGTCCAATGATACCGAGGGTGGTAGTGGTGGCGTGGAGAAAGCGCTCTCAGGGTAAGATAACAGCGTTCTTCGACGAAGGAAGCATCCGTTCTCCACGAAACAAGTATCCGTGGCGAGGTTGTCACAAGATAGATAGAGATAGGGTTGTAGGGCAACAACCTAGGTTCCAGGGAAACTGGTGTTTGCTAGCCCTCCAAGAGGGTTAACTTTCCCCACCTCAAGTTCTCAAGACATGCATGCAACTATCTCAAGATGTGTTGAGTTAGAGGGTTGCTTTCAATAATTTGTGACGGCGACCCTGGCCCGACGTTTATATACCTTCTCTCGTCCCACAGGGGTCCTGCAGCCGAACCATCAATCACGACGAACACAAAACAACAACAACGACAAGAAGAGGCGTAAACGAAAGTCTTTGTGAAAAACAAAACGCTCAACTTCTCCCGCCGGCGCCACCCCGCTCTCCCCCGCGGTGAAAACTACAAAAAACAAAACATGAATACGCTCGTATTTTACAACCAATGGGATAACTCAGATGAGCAAAAGTATAATAAGAGCAAGAGCAGCAAGTGAACAATCGGCACATTTCAGTACGTTTGGAAAATGAACGCGTACACCTACCACAGCTTGCTGACCAGAACAAAACCCGATGGCCGGTTGTATGCATACGAAGTATATTAACCACAAACCAAAATATTCTCACGGGGTTGGAATTCGTGTTTTCAGCAATAAACAGTACACGCTCAGCATGCCGAACATCAAAGGTGCGCCATACAGCGCTCCGACAAATAAACATGAACGTTTCGCGGCAAAGCGTGCAAGTACAAGAACGGCGGACCCCAGAGTGTTGGTCATGCGCCATATGCATGCTACAATATCGACAATCTAAGCTCTGCATCTGATCCGTTCAAGGACAGCAAAGCACGGCAAACATTTGTTGTGCAAAAATACCCCCGAGAGGTAGGACTTGACGCTACACGACACACGCTATATCCTGAACACGTAAAGTCGCGGCTTTCTCTCTCTCTCTCTCTCTCTCTCTCTCTCTCTCTCTCGCTCTCTCTCTTTCCCACCTCCGTCAACTTATCCGTTCTTCACACAACAAACCGAACTTCTTCAAAATTACTCCACACCACCAATTGCGACGCCGTCTTCCACACATCAAGCGCGTCCGCTGCGGCGAGGGATCATGCTCCTTCCCGCCTTCGGTGACGGGCGGGGGATAAAGTTTCTCCTGCCTCCTCCAGCTGCCGCTTCCCCCTGCCTGGTCGACTCGTCCACAGACTCCGCCGGCCCGGCCCCGCCGTCCTCCTCCCCGGCGTCAAACTCCACCGCCGCCTGCACCACCGCCGCCGCCGCCGCCGCGCCGGCAGAAGCCCCCCTGCCGCCGCCGCCGGTTGACGAGCTCCGGCCTCCGAACCTCGAGGACGGCGCCGCCGCCGCCGCCGCCGCAGCCAAGCGCGACGACGGTACGGATGCCACCCCGGGAACCGCCGCCTTCCGCGGGATCCCGGTCCGGGGCAGCCGGCTCGGGCCGCCGGTCGCCTCCTCGACGGCCATCGCGGCCGACCTCACGGCCGCCGCGGCCGCGGCGGCCGCCTTGCCGCGCCTCGCGGCCAGGCCACTCCCGCCTATGGTGGCGCGGTGGTTG